TACTGGAAGGCAGCCGCAACCGAACCAGAATCCTGGTTGGAACCCCTGACAGGACAGTGCGTTCCCAAATACTCGGTCGTCCTTAAAATGACGATGAGGACCTTTAATGTCCGTACCTTGCTCATAGCCTTACCGGACGTTTTGTTTGTAACTGAATGACGACTGAATGTGTGTTACAGCCGCAAGCGTTGGTATCGGTATGGCAGGACTTTGCCACATTAGAAAGCACATGCACCGGGTAGGAGTAGAGACAGAAGAAACACTGTGCAGATACTGCCAGGAAGAGGAGGAGACCGCAGAAAACAATTTATGCTTCTGTGAAGGTCTATGTAGGTGCAGCTTCTTGCAACTAGGACATGAAAAACCTCAAGCAAGAACCTATCAAGGAGCTGCTGGCAAGACAATGCAGGTTGATTAACAACCTGAAGCTGGCCAGTGAGTTATAAAAAACAGGGGAGCACAATAGATCTATTCAGGTCGAGGTGGAGTAGGCCTTGTGGCCACTTCTTTTATCCCTATCCCCTATCCCTAAACAACAAAGATGTGAGTACAACCATCATGTAGACAGTTAAAAACGCTGAGTTCCATAAAAAAAGCAAATTTGGAAAAAATAGAAGACACTTCCAACTGCCACTTGGATTAACAGCAAAGTTGATCTGATCTAGGAATGGGCCCATCAAATGATGAATTAACTTTTTATACCACATCTGGTGTTTTCATCAAGTAGCGTGGTGTCCAGTACAGCAGTCTTAGTTTAAAATCGTTGAAGCCTATCAGGAATGTATTAATGTAATTATAATATTCAGAACTTGCTTGAGTACGATTTGCCTAAAGTTGCCTAATTTTTTATAAAATTTTCAATAAGTTTGAAAAATGATTAAGTTTTGTATGATCTATATTTCTACCAGTTGGTTAGCGAGTCTGGCCTATGTTTTGACTTTTGTTTTAATTTAATTTAACCCCTTCTCCTAATATATGTTTTGTTCCATAATTTTTTAAAAACTAAAATTGTTTCGCCTCTTGTTGATCTTTGTTTCCTGAGCCTATATAATTGAAGTGGCCCTCAAACGGCCCTGTGCATATTCATCGGGTTGTCACCTGCACCGCCCCGGTCGGAATCCAATTTCATAATCGAGCGATCGCATAGTGTACTCTTCCCTAATCCGCCACACATTAGAATATGAATGGGAAAGGGCACGGCTCCTAGGCTTTCCGGAGGCCGGGTCGCGCTAATTAGCTTTTTAGCGGTGAAGGGCCCTGAAAGGGTTCGAATTGGGTATTAATACGGTATCCCGCCCTCGGAAAAGGGATTGGGCCCTTTACCACGAGATGAAGTCTCTAATTTGTTTAAATGATGATATAGTTAGGATCGTTATAACTTTCTCGAAAAACATTTGGCCAAATCATTATGAGCGAAGGGCTTGTAACAAACATCATTTAAGTTATCGGCAGTCTCCATTTTATCTTGGTCTTTTTATCTTTTTAAAATATTATCTGTCGTTTCAAGAATTTCATTTTTGTACGATTAATGAACATGTAATACTTTTCTTTATAATGCCATGTAGGTTGAGTATTGGTTAACTGTTTGATCCGCTTGATTAAAGGTACTTGCAGCTTATTGTACATTACATTCAACTACTCCGGACCTCCAGGTTTTATCGGACTCCTCATTTTTCGCCAGACGGTATTTACCATGGTGTATAACAGGGGTGCTCAAACTTGAACTGCTGGCGATCTACCTCAATATTTTTAGACTACTTACGATCGACTCTGAGAGGCTGCAAGTGTGTGTGATGCAGGGTTGTCGTACATACACGATACACCCTACCTACCTAGGTAGGGTGTACCGTAGCGTATATAGATATTAGCTTTCTGCACAATATAGGTACATTATTTAGTCAAGGTTTGGGTTAGGTTTAGTTAGGTTCTTCTCTACAATATCAATGAAAAAACTCATAGTTATTCAAAATTGCGAGTTTATTGGTTGTTACANATCCATCTTCGAATGGTTTCTTGTGTTTCGCCAATATATGAGATATTTTAAATGACGCGATCGTAGCAGCTTTTGATTGTTTGGCTGGTCTTGTGAACATGGATTGTTCTTTTTTCAAACAAGATATCAAATCACTTACTTTTCGTTTTCTTAATTCACTCTGTGGCGGAAAATCCTTTTCATAGTTTTTATGAACCGTTTTATGATGCCTCTCTAAGTTACCACGCTTAGGTATTGCAACTGACGCACGACAAATAACACAAATGCACTTATCCTTCACCATACAAAAGAAAAATTCTTCCTCCCAATCCTTATTAAAATGATACGTTTTAGATTTCACTGCACTTCCACTTCATTTTCCACTATTTAATAATAAACTTTGTATCGACGTAGTATCGCCATCAAGTTACTATTCAGAATAAGAAAATCCCGGCTCGCATAAGTAATTCGTGGCAAATTGAAGAAGAACAGGTTTTGCTTTTTCAACAAGCGGTTAGAATTTTTTGTTTTTCAGACGGAGTCAAAAAATGGGCTCTGGGCTATTCTCTGTTAATGTATGAATTTTTCAATAAATAGACTCTGAGCATGGAGATTATAAATCGTCGAAAGCTTGGTGAACCCAAAAAAGTCTACTTCAACACAAAAAATCTTATGGAGGTAACTGAAAAAAAATCCTACACAGTTTTCTTTTTAAATTGATGATCTTACATTCATAGCATCTTTTTGTGAATAAAAGGCCCAACCACAAATCGTTAAAATATGATATTTGGTATACGAATTGAGCAGTTGTTTATGAAAATGAGTAGATTTAAAACTTTTAAGCTTAAATTCACTATTTATCATTAATTAATTAAGGCTTTTAGTTGAGATAAAAAAGTCAGTGTCACGAGCGGGATTCGAACCCACGACCTTCGGCTTGATACGCCGCAACTCTACCACTTCAGCTTGAGAGTTACGGCATATCAAGCCGAAGGTCGTGGGTTCGAATCCCGCTCGTGATACTGACTTTTTATCTCAACTATAAACCTTAATTAATTGAACTTTCAAACTTAAATTTTTTTTTTGGCTAAATACATTTTAAAGAAAAACTACCAAGACAACTAATTTTTATATGTGTTTTGTTTGTTTATTGTATGGACATGTTTTTATAATTTCCATTTTTTAATTAATAATTTCTGCTGGGCTTTGTCATGAAAATAAGCAGGGGATGGAATATTAATTGTCTTTAATTAAAATAATTCTAAATGACACTGCGATTGAATTTAGATAAAAATCCAATGAAAAGTAAACAAGCGTTAAGGGAAAAAAAAGCCCGTCGATAAGAAAATTAAACAGTCCTGCTCCAATACGTTTTTTGCCCGTTGTCAGATGCAGTTCTAAAGGATCAAGTGGCGGCAAAATCAACTTGAATACATTACCGAAAATATGCGACGAGGATTGAAGAGAGGCGGGCACTATTAAGTGAGTGTCGCCAGGCCGGCCATGTGTCACTAATGAGGATTTGGGACTCTGCATGCTGGTGACAGACTATTACACGCCTCAGCGGACACCCCAGACCTCAGGTGGCTGACGACACATCCCGCTCAATCCGGACGTTGACGTATGAAAAGCGTATGTGCAAAATGATTTAATTTGCCCTGATGACCAATCCTCGTCAAAAAAAAAACCTAGTCACTAACTAGAATTCATCACTTATTTATAATATATCTATAATATTTACTTAATCAGTACAGTAAATTAACATATGTATATATATATATATATATATATATATATAAACAATTGCATAGTTGTCAAAACATATAATGAAATAATAGAAAAATGGCCATGAATATCATTTCTTAAACACTATACATATTTTTTTTTAATTATATTTTTTATCTAAGGTCTTGTTTGAGATGAAAACGCTAGTGATTCGAGCGACTACCCTAAGGTCGTGGGTTCGAATCTCGCTCCAGATATTTGCTTTTCCAACTTAGCCAAGACATTAGATTAAAAATATAATGAATGGAAATAACAAATCTTATTTGCAGGGCTTGTAAAAAATGGCACAGACCTCCCAAACAGTGCAATAAAAATAGTACGGGAAGTTGCAAAAACAGCAATTAGACAAATCATACGTAAGATAATAAATGACAATGACATCAAAACATGACACTATTTACTATACATTTTTACATACGTTTATTTATGTATTTGAAAATTTATTATGTTTATTGATTATTAATATTTTTTTCTGTACCAACAAAAAATAATCGAAACTCCATTGAGGTTAAATAACCTTAAAAATCTGCAGATATTTTTAAAACTGAGGTTCAGTTTATCTTAATTGATTATTAATATTTTTTGCAGCGCATGTAAAAATGGCACAGACTTCCCAACCAGAGTAATACAAATAAATGTATGGTAAGTTGAACAACAGTAATCACACAAGTCATATGTAAAATAATAAGCAACAAAGACAACAATATATGACACTTTTTACTGTAAATTTGTATATACATTTATTTATTTGTGTAAAAATAAAATTCATATTTGTTTACAAGTCATAATTGACCATATTAATTATTTCAACTAATTTTCCTTTTTATATCAGGTTTTTGGTTGAGATGAGAAAATCCCGTTCGTGATACTAATTTTTCATCTCAACCAAACAACTTAGGTAAAAAGAATAATTAATTGGAATTTACGAAGATTATTTATTATTAATGTTTTTTGCAGTGCTTGTAAAAACTGGCATTGACCTCTTAAATAGAGTAATACAAATATTACCGGAATTTGAAAAACAGTAATCACACAAATCATAAGCAAAATAATAAGCAACAGTGACAACAATATATGACACTATTTACTGTAAATTTGTATATACATTTATTTATTTGTTTAAACATGTGTTATGATTCGCATTTGTTTAGTAGTCATAATTGGCCATAATAATTACTTCAATTAATTATTCTTTTTGTGTAAGATTTTTGGTTGAGATGAAAACATCCCGTTCGTGACAATAATTTTTCATCTCAACCAAATACTTTAGGTAAATAGAATAATTAATTGGAATTTACTATACATTTTTACCTACGTTTATTTATGTATTTGAAAAATTATTAAGTTTATTGACTATTAATATTTTTTGCAGCGCATATAAAAATGGCACAGACTTCCCAACCAGAGTAATACAAATAAATGTACGGTAAGTTGAACAACAGTAATCACACAAATCAAATGTAAAATAATAAGCAACAAAGGCATAAATAAATGAACAGTAATCCCACAAATCATATGCAAAATAAGAAGCAACAATGACAACAATATCTGACACTTTTTACTGTACATTTGTATATACATTTATTTATTTGTGTAAAAATAAAATTCATATTTGTTTACAAGTCATAATTGACCATATTAATTATTTCAACTAATTATTCTTTTTATATCAGGTTTTTGGTGGAGATGAAAAAATCCCGTTCGTGAGACTAATTTTTCATCTCAACCAAACAACTTAGATACAAAGAATAATTAATTGGAATTTATGAAGATTATTTACTATTAATGTTTTTTGCAGCGCTTGTAAAAAATGGCATAGTCCTCCCCACCAGAGTAATTCACATATTACAGGAAATTGAAAAACAGTAATCAAACAAATCATATGTAAAATAATAAACAACAATGACACTAAAATATGTCACTATTTACTATAAATTTGTATGTACATTTATTTGTTTAAAAATTATTAAAATTCATATTTGTTTAGTAGTCATAATTGACCATATTAGTTATTTCAATTGATTATTCTTTTTGTGTAAGATTTTTGGTTTAGATGAAAAATTCCCATTCGTGACACTTTTTTTTGACAATTTTTCATCTCAACCAAACACGTAAATAAAATAATTAATTGGAATTTATGAAGATTATTTATCATTAATGTTTTTTGCAGAGCTTGTAAAAAATGGCATAGACCTCCCAACCAGAGTAATACAAATATTATGGGAAATTGAAAAAACATCAATTGGACAAATCATAGGTAAAATGATAAGCAACAATGACATCAAAATATGTCACTATTTACTATAAATTTGTACATTTATTTGTTTAAAAATTTATTAAGATTTTTTTTTTCAGTGCTTGTAAATGTTGGCATAGACCTCCCAACCAGAGTAATACAAATATTACGGGAAGTTGAACAACAGTAATCACACAAATCATATGTAAAATAACAAGCAACAATGACATTAATACATGACACTATTAACTGTAAATTTGAATATACATTTATTTATTTGTTTAAAAATTTATTAAGATCTTATTTGTTTAGTATTCATAATTAGCCACAATAATTATTTCAATTAATTATTCTTTTTGTGCAAGGTTTTTGGTTGAGATGAAAAAATCCAATTCGTGATACTAATTTTTCATCTCAACCATGGAATTTATGAAGATTATTTATTATTAATGTTTTTTGCAGTGCATGTAAAAAATGGCATAGACCTCCTAAGCAGAGTAATATAAATATTACTAGAAGTTGAAAAAACAGCAATTAGACAAATCATATGTAAAATAATAAACTATTTACTATAAATTTATATAATTTATAATTTCATTAATAATAATTTTAAATAATTAATTTTTTTAATTATTAAAACTTCAAATATAATATGTACTAGTTTTTGGAACAGTAGAAACCAACTAACGTATAAAGAGTGTGGTGATTAGTGACTGTTAGTCGATAATTATTCAGAAATCGTGAGATGCGGTCTGGTGTGATGTAGGTTTCAGGAAAACATTTTCTTTATCGTGCCAACGTTTCGATCTTTATTGAGCCCTGAAGATGAAATCAATAAAGATCGAAACGTTGGCAGGATAAAGAAAATGTTTTTCTGAAACCTACATCTCACCAGACCGCATCTCACGATTTCTGAATAATTAACGTATAAAGATCGACAGAAAAACTTCATGACAATCAAAACAACTAGGCATTATTATGAAGCCAACAGATATAGTTTTCAAAAAAATTATATCCAATCGTAATTTTACTTATGAAAATTATGTATCAATTGGAATTTTCCAAAAATGATTTTGCATTTTTATAAAAGAAAATTGTATTTCAGATTTGGTCCGATTGTTCCTTGGAATTTGTGTGGTTTTTGGATAATAAATACAATTGTCATTATTGGTGCTATTATTAAGAAGGGGTATGAAGGGACATAAGAGGGCAGTAGCTCCAGACGTCATTAAAAAACCTTGAAATATAATATGTACTACTATCTTATAAAAATCAACAGAACAACTTCATGATAATCAAAACAATTAGCCAAACCTAATGTACTTAACTGATATTTAAACATATTATATAATAATACATTAATATTTGGAAATTGTGAGATGCGGTCTTGTGTGATGTAAGTGTAGAAAAACATTTTCATTAACGTGTCAAAGTCATCATTGAGAGATCACTTCCTGAATAAAGGCCCTGGCCTGGAATTCACAAACACTCTTTGGATTATGCAAATACATGTAAGATGTGAAAATGAATTTATACAATGATGTACGCAATCTAAGTTTATTGTGCTATTTTAAGTTTATTCAAAGTATTTGTATGCACTCAAAAGTGTGTTTGCTGTGTGTCGTGTTGCGAGTGTTAGTACGACATACATGTTTTTTTTTGTGTATATATGTTTAATTTTGGAGGAGTTGAGTAGTCGGCTTCTATGAGGTGAAGGGCCGATAACGGAAAAAAAGGGTAATGGTTTATCGCTCTGGCTTGGTTATCTTTTTATATCGTGACTTCAAGTGGTTGGAGCATCGGCGTATTGAGCCGAAGGTCGTGGGTTCGAATCCCGCTCGTGACACTAACTTTTTCTCTTCGACCCAAAACCTTACATAAACAGATTAATTAATTGTTTTATATGTTGTCTTACATATTATATGTTTTACTGATATCGAATTTGATTTATGTTATTAGCTTAGCTGTGGCTGAGTTTACACGTGTCGGTTCTGTAATTGATGCCGTCTTTATCCCTGTTGATGTAAACCATTTATAAAAACTTATGTTTATGTTTGTTTTGTTCTGTGTTTAATATTTTTGATTGTTGAAGTCGAAATTGTGTTGTGTTCAAAAATTGTGGGTAGCCAGTGCTGTAGGATTTTGTTTGAGTTTTTCTCAATCATAGATATGTTGTTTTACCCTCTTATCCAGACATTGGGATGTAATTCCGATGTAAGTTACCGGACAGTTTAAACAATTGATTTTGTAGATTACGTCAGATTTATTTGTTATTGGTGTGGAATCTTTAATTTTGGAAAAAAGTGTTTGAATTGCTGAATCCCAATTGGATAAGAGTAAAGCAACGTATCTATGATTGCAAAAAACCCAAGCAAAAGCGCTACCCACCATTTTGAACACCAACACAATTTCAACTTCAAAAATCCAAAAATATTAAAAATAAATTAATAATAATAATAAAGTAATATTACACACAGAACAAACCGAACGCAAACTTAACTTTTTAGTAATGGTTTACATAAAGAAGGATAAGCACAGCATCAATAACAAAACAGATACATGTTAACTCAGTCGCAGCTACACCAATATCATTAATAAAATTCAATATCGATAATACATATATCATCATATCACACAAAAAATATATTATAACATATAAAACATTCTTCATCACATTCCACACATCAAACATTTTTACATAATCTACTTTTTGAACAATTTAGCTTTTCTTCTTCCTATTTATACCCGTCCTGAAAGGATAATCTAGCCGAACCATTACCAACGTTTTTTCCCATCGTCGGCTCTTTTCACCTCAAAGAAGCCGACTCCTCTTATAAAAATGTCTTTCTAGACCGACTTCTTTTCCCACCCCTTCAAAATCCAACTTATATAAACATAAAAATATCTCACTGGCACTCTCAACACGGCAAACAAGAATGACACAATCACGCAGAAAACAAACACTTTGAATGAGTAAAAACACTTTGATTGAACATAAAAAATATATATTTTTTTTTTGCATTGTATAAATTCACTTTTTTCCACATCCTATATTATTTGTTAAATTTAAACAATGTTTGTAAATCCTAGGCCCTGAAGATGATCTCAATAAAGATCGAAACGTTGGCACGATAAAGAAAATGTTTTTCTGAAACCCACATCACGCCAGACAGCATCTCACGATTTCTGAATAATCATTGCCTAACGGTCACTAATCACCCCACAATGGTGTTAGTGTTGAATTGTGATTGTTCATTATTCTATTGATTGTGTAGAGATTAGTGACCGTTAATCGATAGTTATTCAGATATCGTGAGATGTGGTCGGGTGTGATGTAGGTTTCAGAAAAACATTTTCTTTATTGTGCCAACGAGAGTCTCAACACGACACGCAAGAATGGCACAATTACACAGAAGACAAACACTTTGAGCCCTGAAGATGATCTCAATAAAAGATCGAAACGTTGGCACGATAAAGAAAATGTTTTTCTGAAACCTACATCACACCAACCGCATCTCACGATATCTGAATAACTATTCTGTTGATTGTGTGCTTAGGGTAGTGAATGTTATGTAAGATATTTTTTTTATTATGTTGTTGTGATGAGAAGATTCATTGCTCAGGAGTTCTGGGAAGTAGCCCTTGGCCTGTTTATTATTGTGTGAAGGAGATGGTGTGATAGTTGAGGTAGCGATCTGTGTGTCCAGGTTTTTGCTACAAATCTGTGATTAATGTGCCATCTGGTTGTTTTATCACGAGTCTATTTAAAAATGGTAATTGTTTTGTTGTTTCGATTTCATGAGTAAATTGTATGCTTGAGTGAAAGCTATTAAATGTATATAATGTAAGATAAATAAAAATCGAAAAGTTGGGACAATAAAGAAAATGTTTTTCTAAACCTACATCACACAAAACCACATCTCACGATCAACAAATTATCATTAATACTAAATACTACACATTTATATAATATGGTTATTTTACTTGTGAAAATAATCTATTGGTTGGACTTTTCCAAAAGAAAGTTCACTTTTTTGTAAGAGCGCTTTATATTTCATGTTTTGTGTTGTTTCCTGCTTTGCTAAAAATTGCTTTTATTATTTGTTTTTATTGGAAAATAAAGGTAATTAGTATTATTATTGTAAATTAGTATAGATATTATTGTGAAGGGGTGAAAGCAAGGGGGTTGATATCGCGAGGTCGGGTCCACCCGGATCGAACGGATCCCAATCCATACTTCGGGGTGGTCCGATTCGCCGGTCGCGCAAGGGCTTTTCCCCGGGAAAGCGCAAAGGGGTGTGGAAAGTGCCGGGGGATGGAAAATAAGAAAACTAGCGGAAAGACAGGGCCAGTAGGGTGCGCCGGTTTGGAACCAATCGGGGGCCGCCTTTTACAAGTCTGACCTCCTCAGGTGGGCGGCCACACCCACAACGGCCACCTCTTTTTCCATGCCACTTATGGGAAAAGCTCCCTTATCAATTACTTTTGACTGCCGGAATCGGACTTACGAAGCCCTTGTCAAGATATAAAACCACCACCGTTTCATAACGGGGCACAATGTGTCTTTCCCAGGTTTCATATCTCCCAGGAGGGAAAAACTTTTATCTTAGAGAGCTTATTACCATTTTTGGAACGACGTACCTCTATCTCGAATGGATGGGAGACAAGATTTTTTAAATAAAATGCTACCCTTTTTGTTTAAAACATTGTTTATTCTATATGTTTATCCCGAGAAAAGAAAAATATAAGTTTTATAATCAAGTCTTAGATTTCTCCTATACACAATTTAACCAATTTTATATCTAGACAACATATTATTTATAAATTAATAAAAATAATCGATTGTCCCTTATTACTTTATTTCACGTAACTTTCTTGTTCCACTCTATAATGAATAATTCCTTTCATTTTCTTCATTCCACACACCGGATTATTATTTTCTTCATTATCTATCAATCGCCTCCAGAAAATAGTTAATATCCTTGTCCAGAACTTTCTAGAAAAAAAAAGCTTCACTAAAACTTTACAGACCATTAGATTATAATATCTGATATAAGCGCTTTAGCTACTTATAGGGAGCGCGCAGGAATGCCGCCCGATATAAGCATTGTGCTCCAGCATGGGAGCGAATCTTTTATCTTGAGATCAACTAGTGTGATTCTGTATAAATAGGCCTTTTGGTTATTGCAGATAATCCTATAATTGTGTGTATACTAAATTTGGTGAAAG